GGCAAATAGTCTTCCGCGGTTGTTAGCTAAATTTGAATTTTATTTTTATCCTATCGCTTTTAAAGTGTCATTTTCTTTGGCTATGGTATTCAGTAGATCTTCTGACGGTTAAATATTCTCTGCATTATAAACGAAGATCGTAGGGAATTAGTTTTTCAACTTATTTGCTTCGTTGGTTTCTTCTTTACTATGATTTTCTTTATTTTCTTTATTTTCTTGAAGTATTTCGTATCCGTTGATTGTGTACCAGTAATCTGATAATTAAATGCTTGTCATTTTTTAAATTAAATTTGAACGTCTAGATTGCTTATCCATCTTTTATTATTTACACTTTTCTAATATCTAGTTTTGTTTTTATTGGGAGTAGACATGTCGTACCCTATTTAAGTGGCCATTTTGGCTATTATTTTCTTTTGTTTTGAGGTACTGTCAATGAAGTATAAACTTCAACTGTCACTTCACTTGATTTGCTAATACTATAGCTTTTCGGGTCGAACACAATTTAAGCCTATCAGCTCCCCTTAAGGATTAAACGCAAACTCGCAAACAAACAATAAACAATAATTTTTCTTCCAATTTGCAACTAATTAGCTTAATCAAAACTAGATTAAAAAAAATTTTTTGAAAAGTTTATTATGAAAAAAAAATTTACATAGACTTTTTATTTCTGTATATAAGGCTGTCACGGTCGGTTAAATAAATGTAATACCTAATACCGTTAAAAACTTTCATCTCTCGCTATGAGGCTAATCGCCGCCTCGACCCGCTCCTGGTATGTTCGCTACTGATACATATATGATCACGAAATCACGAAACAAAACGAGAGATAAATAAAACAGATTAGGGTCTCTACTGCAAGTGTGGATCAGTAGATAGTTAACTAGGCCAATATATAGTAATAATACTTTTATATTGAATTATTAATAATTAATAAAATAAATTTTATTCCTATTAAAGAAATGTTGACGTTTTTAATGTTAAATATAACTGTTTATTATGGTTGCTGATAATAAATTAATTAACTAATAATTGACAAAATAAATATTGAATGTTCGTAGCTATGCTACACTTTAGTTATAAACGTTTGATTAACGAACTGCAGTTGAACTGCTTGCTTTTAAAGATTGATATTTATGTATTTTTTCGCAAAAAGTCGATAAGTCATTTTAAAAGAAATTGGGCAACTAAATCTAAGATACTTATAAACTAAAAATTATGAAAAATCACATTTGGATCATGTAGACACTCTGGTAAAATTTTATTTTTAACCGTGTAACAAAATTTACTGATCCTCTTAGATCGGACTGTTTCAGACCATCTGTTGTCCGACTGTGAAAAATTTTCTAGTCATCGAAGCTCATTTGACCGCCTAACACCTGCGTCTCTTTCATCGAACGATGAACTGCCCGGAGAAAAATAATAATATCCACCATCGTCTGCTCTCCACTGGGAAAAGACAATAAACGCAGTTTATTAACTACATTAGCACTACTTCCTGGTGAAAAACACCGTGACCTGATTTCTGTCTGTTGTCTGATCTTCTATTTCGTTCATTGTTTTGTCAGTGAAATTACATTCTTCCACTCTTTCTAGTCGTCGTCATATTCCAGTAGTGGTCCTCAAAATAAGTATGTTCTTTATCGTCTCGCAGTATTTACAGTCTGGACTATTTACATTTCCTCTGTCGTGTAAGTATTTCCTGAAATAGTTGTGACAGGTAAGAAACTGGATCAGGAAAAAGTTTACTTCTCCGAATTTCCTCCCCGTCCACGGTTTCAGATCGTCAATGAGACGCTTCTTTCATTTACTAATCGGTTTCGTCCTTCATTGATTATTTCATTCTGTGACTGTCTTGTTTTTCTCTTATTTCGCAGCTTCTTTCCTTGTTATATATCGATTTTGTTCATATACGTGCTTCCGTTCTTTTGTGAGCAGGTCTATCAGAATTATGACTGCTACCACAAGAACGGTATTAGCCGAGACTTTGTAAGTGCAAGCAATCCTTAATGCTTTCTGTTTCTGTATGTTCATAAATCATTTACTGTAATTCTTGATCTTCAGCCTGCTGGCTCATACTTCCACCATTAGTAGTCATCTCTTCCATTGTCTTGGATCAAATGTATTTACCATCAAGTGGCTAAGAGCGAAAGTCCTCTTTACCGTCTTCTATATGTGTGACCGGAACGTAAGTTTTGTATCTAGGGTCACCTTCAGGTACTTAACCGTCCCTCTGGTCTCTGTCTGAAAACCACCAACCGACATTGGAATAAGTGTGATAATTCTGTTTCCCATTAGAAGGATCAGTTGCCTCTTAGCCAGGGCCAGGCTCAGCCCACATCTAGACATTTATCTGTTAATTCGTAGCATCGTACGGTTCGGTAACATTTATGCCAACTCCATGGTGCGTGCTGTTATCACTTCTGCGATGTCACCGGCGTAGGCGACCATCTTCACTCCCGACGGCATCTTCAGTCTCAGTAATGCGTCATATACTACATTCCAGAATTTCAGATCCAAGATAGATCCCTGCGTACACCTGTGATCATTCATTTGGTCACACTTCCGTTGGTCGTTTTGTACATAATCCATCCATCCTGCAATAATCTCTTACCACTTACATGAGGTACGAGGTGTGTTCAAAAAGTAAGGTGACTTTTCAAATTTCACAGGCAACGTACTTTCCATTATCGATTTTTTGTTTTGTTATGTTGGTATACTCTTCCCGAACATCTGTTCCAAGTTTCAAGTGTATAGCATTTTTTGTTTGGTTGTGAGAGGCGTAAAGGTTATAAGTGTTTTGCGTGCTCGGCGATTTCTTGCTATCGAAAAATATGGATCAAAGGATTTGCATCAAATTTTGTGTAAAAAATAAAATAAAGTGCTCCGAAACACTTGAAATGTTGACGGTGGTATACGGTGAAACTGTTCTGAGTAAAAAAAATATTTACAAGTGGTACAAACTCTTCCAAGATGGCCGGGAAGATGCCAATGACGAGCCTCACTCTGGACGCCCAAGCACGTCAACAACTGATGAAAACGTTCAAACAGTGAAGAAAATTGTTCTGGAAAATCGTCGAATTACTATCAGAGAAGTTGCTGAGGATGTTGGTATATCGCTTGGCTCGTGCCATGAAATTTTTTCTAACATTTTGGGCATGAGACGTGTGTCAGCGAAGTTTGTTCCGAAATTGCTAAATTTTGAAGAAGAACCGTCGCATGAGCATCGCTCAAGAACTGTTGAATGACGTCAACGACGACCCAGATTTACTCAAAAGGGTCATAACTGGTGACGAATCATGGGTATATGGTTATGATATCGAAACCAAAGTCCAATTGTCCCAATGGAACAGCCCAGATGAGCCAAGACCGAAAAAAGCACGCCAAGTTCGATCAAATGTCAAAGTTTTGCTCACTGTTTTCTTCGATTACCATGGCGTGGTGCATCAGGAGTTCTTACTATATGGACGTGCGGTCAATAAACAGTATTATCTTGAAGTTATGCGCCGTTTGCGAGAAGCAATACGAAGAAAACGCCCAAAATTGTGGAAAAACAATTCATGGCTTTTGCATCACGATAATGCCCCTGCTTACTCATCTTTGCTTGTGAGAGATTTTTTGGCCAAAAACAACATCACAATCATGCCTCAGCCACCATATTCACCGGATTTGGCCCCATGTGACTTTTTCTTGTTCCCAAAACTAAAGAGACCTATGAAAGGACGGAGATTTGCAACGATTGAAGAGATAAAGACTGCATCACTGGAAGAGCTCAAGGCTATACCGAAAAGTGCTTATAAGAAGTGCTTTGAGGATTGGAAAAACCGTTGGCATAAGTGTATTGTATCTGAGGGGGATTACTTTGAAGGGGACAACATAAATATTGATAAATAAATAAATATTTTTTCTTAAAAATACAAAGTCACCTTACTTTATGAACACACCTCGTATATGGAGAGTCGAGGCTTTCAAGGGCCTCAAGTATATCACTCCATTTGGCTAAGTTAAGGAATCTTGATGTCCAGTGTCTCTATTGGTCTCTCCCTGTAGCAAATGCGCTTCGTCTACCAAAAACTATCCGTGATCTGTCGTATTACCCTTATTGTCGAGCATTCCCTTCGAAAACCATGCCAGTTGTCCGCGGTTCTCCGTTGATGTTACCACATCCGTTAGTTTCCTTTTTATTAGCGCTTCGTACAGTTTACCCGCTGTCTCTAGCAGACTCAGGGGCCTATAGGAAGACGAGGCATTCGGCTTTCTTTTTTTATTGAGAACCAGTCTGGCCGTATTCCATCGCTTGAGGAAAATACCGACCCACAGATTAGGATTGTACTTATCCAGGAGAAGTCCCAGGCATTCAGGATCCGGAAATTATTATTATTATTATTACTATTATGATTATTATTACTATTACTATTAATTTTTTTGCTGGTAAAAACAGGGAATCTGCCGAGAGCAGACCATCAAAAACGGCCCTCTTTTCTACCAAGTCAGGTGTCGCGGACTCCACCGGTGTGTCCGGGAACACGTCAGCCTCAGCAGCGAGTAAACTGGATTGCTCCAGATTATCAGCGGCACGGGCTTCAGTGGCCCATGGGAACCGTCTAACCCGCCATCCGTCGAGCATATCTCTGAGTGTATTCAGAAGCATGCCCCAGGATGGAAAATTTCACCTTCTGTCTAACCCGCAGCGTGGGACCACTTTTGTATTACATCGCCGCTGCTGGTTTTGTCCAAACGTCTGTTCATTTCCTTGGTTTTATTACGTCTTTCCGCCCATTTCATTTATTCAGCCTTTCATACATAACTCATCCGCGGTATTTCTCATACATTCATCCAAATTCTAGGTATCCGTACCCATTCTTCTCTCTCAGGACAGTCTCGAAAAAGGTAGTGACCGCTATCCAGCTGTCCTAATTATTATTATTATTATTATTATTATTATTATTATTATTATTATTATTATTATTATTATTATTATTTTTATTATTATTATTGTTACAACATAAGTTTGAAATAAGTTTAACTTATTAACAGTCTTTCAAACTATTACATCCAGAAATGAATGGAAGGCCAGTTCTTACTTGATTCTGATATTGTATATAGGAATATCCAAAAAAATTCAATAAACTTGTTTCTTCAATTGATATTCTGTCATAAAAAAATATCCAGGATATAAATGTATATATCATCAAACATATAGGATTTTGCAAAATAATCTGAAACATAAATATATTTTTATATGAATGAAGTAATATTACTATCTTTTAATCAATAGTGTTTTTTTATTAAATTGGTTAATTTATAAGAAGTATATAAATAGTTAATTGGAATAATTAAGGAAATACTGTTGTAACGTCAGACGAATTTTTCTTTATTATAAAGATTTATAACGGTGAGTTAAATAAATAAATTGTTCAACGCCGTTATAGAAATTTCATCCCTCGATCCGGTCTTAGTATGCTCGATGCTGGGGAGCACACATTTTGGAGCGTGAAACCACGAAGCAAAACGAAATATAAAAAGGATTACATATCAAGTGTCGCGGTCACGGCATACATAGAGATATGAAGCCTGTCGCACTCGACACTACAAAAAATAAGTTGGCTAATACGGGCTTTCCGAATGTATTTTATTATCTTTATAGTCTCCATGCATAATATACTTATGTAACCAATAGTAAAATGAAAAGTCTATCTTTTCGTCTTACATTCAAACAAGTTTTAGTTCAATAGATGTAATTTAGAGAAAGCTATTTGGAAAACAAAAATTTTTGATTGTCGTTTTTTCAGACAACTACTCGTCACAGATTTCGTCTCAGGTTGATTATTATAGGTATTCTACGTACAATACTACATATAATACGCTATAATAATGCAGTGTATAGAACCTGCATATTAATTCGCTTAATTGCTAAAAATGGTCTGAATTGCTGAAAATGTCAGTAGTTTGAATGCTAAAAGTATCAGTCCATATAATATCAGTCATATTTCGATAGCGATGTATAGGTATATGTTTAACTTACAAATACGCGTCTTATAGCGCAGACTCGATCAGCTGTTCATATCAAAAGTCTAACTAGTTATAATTATTGATATAATTTTAAAATTTATCTGAAACGATCATCGGTGATATCAGGTGTATAATTATAAGCACTCATATCGATGGAGTTCATTTTACATGTTCCTCATACACTTAACCCATTAAGTCCTGAATAGACGAATTTCATAACAGTTTTCAATGTATATATTTTTTACGAAAATGGGTTGGGTTGTCCAAATATATGCAACTACACGTATTCGACGTAGAATTTAATGGCCTTTCTGAATCTCTCATCATATTTCCCAAAAAGTGTACCAGTCTAATTCTAAATACGATTTGAACAAAAAAAAACGGTTTAAAAAAAAAATTTTTGCTCATTTCAATTTTTCACGTTGCTTACTAGTTAGAAAGTTTTCTAGTTCCAGATTTTTTTGTATGAGTCCATTATGATTCCATATGACAATTTTTAATTTATCCATTATTTTGAAATTTTATTGATTAATGTTGATAGCAGTTTCAGCATCGTGTCTTTATCATTCTATTTAGCATTCTATTCACGAGTTTTTCCATTATTTCTTATAATTTTTTTTTATTTTTTGATACATTTATTTTTGCTTGTTGAACAGAAATACGAGGGTGGTCCGATAAGTACTTAGCCTCACCGCTCGATGGCGTCACTCTCGCAAGAGAAATATATTACCATGTAGTACAACCTTGTCGATGGTTACTGTCAAAATTTCAGCCGAATTGGACTCATAGTTCTGTTGTAACCGCGTGTTGAAGCGGACGTGTTAGAAAAATGGAAAAAGAGCAGTATCGGTCGGTGATTTGATTCTTATTTTTGGAAGGAAAATCGCACAGCGAAATCAAAAAGCGTTTGGATGCTGTGCACGGTGACTATTCTCCTTCGATAGCGACCGTTAAAAATTGGTTTAACGAGTTTCAACGTGGTTGCACGTTGGTTTTTGATGAGTCACGCTCAGGTGCTCCGAAAACGGCTACCACGGAGGATAACGTAACAAAAATTCACGATCTTGTATTGGCAGATCGACGATCGAAGGTACGCGAGATAACTAAGATCGTAGACCTTTCAAAAGACTGCGTGGGTCATGTCTTGCATGAAATTGTAGGCATGAGAAAGCTGTCGGCACGATGGGTGCCGCGTTAGCTCACTTCAGACAACAAGCGCAACCGTGAGACAACTTCAGAGCAGCGTCTGACGCTGTTTAAGCGCAATCCGAAGCAGTTACTGCGTCGTTTCGTGAACGTCGATGAAACATGGATCCACTGGTATACATTGTAGACCAAGGAACAGTCGAAACAGTGGACTTTACCCGTCGAAAGTGCTCCAAAGAAGGCGAAGACTGCCCCATCGGCCGGAAAGGTGGTGGTCACCGTTTTCTGGGATTCACAAGGTGTGATCTACATCGACTACCTGGAGAGGGGCAAAATGTTCACAGGGCTGTACTATGCCGAATTATTGGGCCGATTCGATGTCGTATTGCAGAAAAAACGATCCCATTTGGCGAAGAAAAAAGTGCTCTTCCACCATGACAACGCACCGGCTCACACCTCCGCTGTCGCCATGGCCAAATTGGTCGAATTAGGCTACGAACTGCTGCCCCATCCACCGTATTCTCCAGATTTAGCCCCGTGCGACTTCTTTTTGTTCCCAAACTTGAAAAAGTCAGTCGTCGGGCAGAAATTTGAGTCGAATGAGGAGGTAATCGCTGCCACGGAAGCCTACTTTTCAGACCTCGAGGAAACGTATTTTTCAGACGGGTTAAAGAAGTTGGAGCATCGCTGGGCCAAGTGTATCGAATTAAAAGGAGACTATGTTGAAAAATAAAACGCCACTTTTCCAAAATTTTCGTTTTTCTTTTGTAGGCTAAGTACTTATCGGACCACCCTCGTAAGTGTAAAATTGTGTTCTCTTTTCTTTTAATATATTTACTATTGGTAAGTATTTATTACAATCGCTTGGTTGAATTCTAATCTTATTGTTGTTGAGAACTTTAATCGTATAATTATTCTTGACTATTTTATTTAATAATTCTTCAAAATTTTTCTACATTTTCAACATAAATTGGTGGTGATTTATAGATTTAAATTTTGATTTCTTCTTTGTTTTCATTTTTTTCATTTTATAATCTGAATGGCTCATATCGATTTATAGTACCAAGCCAGTTCTCCAACGTGTAGAGAGAACGCTTATTTTGTTGCTGCGAACTGTTTACAGGGCTATTCCTCTGCCGTTTTCCATTGACTTTTTTCCATTCTTCCTTTTTATTATTTTAGGGCGAGATATCCATTATAATTTTTATTAGCTATAAAAGCCTATTTAATATTGTATTTGAATTTCTCTACTATATTTACTTGTGATCAGTTATTTACTGTCAGCGTATTATAGGTAATTCATTTTGCACTGTAATCAATCCTTTTATTTATTTAAGTGTCACTTTTGCTTTCTCTAATCTATTAGTATCATATACTGGAGCGTAAATACGTCCTCTCAGTGTAGAATCTTATTAAAATGAAGTTAAAATTTATCTAATAATCAAACCGACCCCAAATACGAAATTCAAAATATTTGAACAATCTAGAGACCTGGTATTTCAATTTATATTTAATGAATTCTGTGTATTTGACCATGAAATGACATTCGACATGACCTGATAAGGTTAAACTGACCTTGAATTTGGACTCAGCGCCCTGAAAATCCTATAGACCTACTATTTCAACTTAGTTTTGATGAATTCTGCGGATTTCACCTTAAATATGACCTTGAAGGATTAAACTGACCCTGAATTCTAATTTAGCGATTAAAAAAAACCTATATAACTACTATTTCAAGTTAGTTTTGATTATGTGTATTCAACCTTGAAATTGTCTTGAATCTGACTTCATCAGGTTATTAACAATAACCTCACATTTAGAATCAGCAACCTGTACAACATACTTGTCTAGTTTTTGGTACTTAAAATTAGTGTTTGTGGGGCTATGTAATTAACAATTGAAAAAACTAAACTAATTACTTTTGATTAAAATATTATAATTGATTAATATTATATAATATTAAAATATTATATTGATTAATATATTGTTATAGTAGAATTTTAATGCTTTTCTTTCTGACTTGCTTCTGCATAATTGAAAAATTTACTATTTAAAGTTGCTCAAATTTAAAAATTTCAAACATAGTGTAAAATTATTGAATGTAGATAATTTATAAGATCAAAGAAAAGGCAAAATTAGAGCATGAAACTCACATTAAATAAATAATCAGGGTAAGTAATGAAGAGGGAAGACTGAGTTGAAGTGACAAGATCATAAATAAATAAAGATCATAAATAAAATTTCGATCGATTGACTAATTTAATTTTGATTTCTCGAATTTCAATATACATACAGACATGTAATTATAAGTAATCGAATGTGCTTGTATGCACAAAAAGGAATTATAAAATTGAAACATGAAAGCAATAATTTATATAAGACAAAATATTCTGTGATAATAAACAAAATTTGTTTCTCTGTAAATAGGAGAATTTTTTATTAACAATTATTTACATTATTTACAAGAAAAATAGTTATTTACACAGTTATAAATTACCTGTAAATAGGAGAAACGACAATTAATGTTTATTATTCGTTTCTCTTTATTAATTAGCTTATTGTTCTTTATTTAATCAATTTTAAAGTTATTATTTCACTTTTCTTAATTAATTAACACTTATGATCACTTTATTCTTAATCATAATCTTTCTTTGTGTAGATCTCATAACGGTTTCTCTTCAATTGTCTTCTTCTCTCTAATCTTTCTATTTACTTGCTGCTAATGCTGACTCATCAAAATTGATCATGTGACTTCGTGTCGATAGGATAGATATTGAAATAAACGATCTTGATGAGCGCGCATATTATTGTAGAGCGCGTTAAATTTAAAGAGAGTATATTCTCTTTACATATCCCAACTTTCTTGTAAAAATTTTTTAGAGTTTTCATCATAATATATAACAGGTGTTAATTTTGATTTATGGAATAATGCCGTGTCTTGATTTCTTTTTCCTCAATTTATCTTATATATCGATGCTGATATTTTATCTGTAATCTCGAATGGTCCAATTTTTAGTTCATCTAGTTTATTTCTATTTAATTTGTTGTCGTTTTCTATGTA